TCGAAAATGTCGTGGTACGAAATACTGAATTTCTCAGAAATTTGGAGCGACATGAAATCATATTTTGCCCGACCACACAGAACGTCCAATATAAAACCCTCGAAATCCCAAGACTTTCTGGATTTCGTACTAAGGGCCCGCCTTAATTTTAAAAGCAAACAGACACAAGCATACAAACGATCCCAAAATCCCAAGATTTTCGTAGTTTCGTACCCGTCGTACACAAATCCGAAATCGGAGCAAGCGGCAGTATTTTATAGAGTAACTATTTTTCTATTCGTAACATGAGAGTCGATGTCGATACGCGCCTAGCATCTGAATTCGGGTGAGAGTAATTAAATAATATTCATAATAATACTATTAATCTAAAAAATATTACTTAATAATATATATATTCTAGAATAAGATTCTAAATTTCATTTATATAAGCTATAAATATTCCTCAGAAACAAAAATTAGATCTTATATTTATATAAATTGCTTGCGATATATAAATATATAATTTTATATATTTCTATAATTTTTCTTACTAATAGTTACCTTTCTATTAAATCTTCATCTTATCTTTCTATTTCTTTTCTATTATTAAGCAATCTCACTCCTATATATATATATAACTTATATAGAAATAATATAAATCTTTCATCAAGAAACGGATCTCAATCTAAAAAAAGCCAATAAAATCGAGACCAATATCGAATAAAATCTTCTATTTAAATATAATCTCTTATTAACTAAATTAAACTTCAATTTCAATATCTAAACCTTCAAATTTCTTTTCATTTTCTAGAGATTATTTTACATGTAATATCAACTTATATTCTTTATCTAAAAATTTAGAATTATTCATATTATTCTAATCCTTATATATAAAATTAATTCATAGATAATAAAGTCTATTTCTATTATTAGAAATTTTATTTTTATATTTATTTATTTTTTCATTTAGAGAAATTCTATAGAAATAAATCAACGAAAATAAATATTTCAGCTTCTCCTAATTATTCCATAGAAAATATATTGAGATCTTATTCAATTTAGATCTAATCTTTAATTATAATTCCATATTATCCAAGATTCTTCAAGAATTTCTTTAAAAATCAAAGAAACTTAAAATATTGTGTCTGTTTTAATTTGAATTTTGGATTTGGAGGCTATCAACTATCTATATTCTTCATGTGTGTAGTCCGTCAAATTGTTGGTCGTAGTGTCACAAATCAAAATCCTCATTCTGTGTCAAATAAAAAATCGACAATGAGCTATTGTAGGGGCCTTTATGTTTAGAATAGGTTTTAGGGCACATTCTACTATAGTTATGATAAGGAGTCCCCAACAAAGTGGTATAGGTAATTATTAAAGCCCCTAGAGTATTGTGAGCTCCCGCTTCGATGCTCAACATGATTTCTGCGCGAACCTTCTCGGAATTCGTATGACTAGCCTCGGCTGGAAGTGGCCGTCTCATTGCGCGTCCTGCCCTGCTGCCTGAATCTGAACCCGGGCCTCAGGCCCTTGCGATTAACAAAAGTCAAACATGACCAGCAGGAATTGAACTGAATTGCCACTGTTGTTGTTGTTGGTGGTGGTGGTTGTTGTGGCTGTCGTGCTTGTTGTTGTTGTTCTTCTTCTTCTTGTAGCTGCAGCTGTGTAGCTGTTGCTGTAGCTGTCGCCGTCGTTGTTGTTGTTGTTGTGGTTGTTGTGTTTGTCGTGCTTCTTCTTGTTGATGTTGTTGTTGTTGTTGTTGTGGTTGTTACTGTTACTGTGTTGCTGTTGCTGTGTTGCTGTTGCTGTTGCTGTTGCTGTTGCTGTTGCTGTTGCTGTTGCTGTGGCTGTTGTTGCTGTTGTTGTTGTTGTTGTCGTTGTTGTTGTTGTTGTAAGTGTTGTTGCTGCGGCGAGGGCTGTCAGCAGCAGGACAGCAAAACTTTGAAACACCGTGCAAAACGCGAAGATGCAGCATGAACAGCGTACCTTGCTTTGTTGCACATATCATAACATCTTTGACTCCGCGGCAAACTTCCAATGATGAGCGATACCCCAGCTGAACCCCTAACCGCCTACTCAACCCGAGACGCGTCCCAGCATGTAGCAACAAAGTTCGCCAGTCCAGGGGAGTTGATGCACAAGTGGATGCCCCTGACACTGTCGTTCAGGATGTGACAGCTGAAACGACGCAGATCTGCATGTCCTCACAGAGTTAGATGTGATGCAACAGTTAGGAGCTTAAGGCTCTTCTTTCAGCGGGGCATCACTGCATCACGTTGCCGTCTGCTTCCAAATGCTGCACCAACTGTGGCTTCTAGATGGATCTTCAGAGTGTGATGCTGCGGAAGTGTTAGTGCAGAACTTTGGGTCAGCGAGATGGGGTCCTCTGTTGTGCATGGCTCCAGTAACTAGGATTCCTAGGATGCATCTGCTCTTTCCCAAGAAACCCTAATCAACCAGACCTAACGGAACTTGCGTTGATTCTCGCCTGGCTCAAGGAGCCTGTGGGTCTGAGTAAGCTGTACTATATTATATTACACTATACTATACTATATTCTATTCTATTGTACTATGTTTTATTCGATTATATGATATCATACTTATATCCGAGTGGGTCTAGCCCCCCTGGCAGCATCCCGTGAAGGTCACACGGCGCAGAGGGTGCTTCGACGTTTGCAGATCTATCATGCCAAATGGTCGATGTCTAAATGTACGCGCCTCTGCCAAATGCGACTTCAAGGAATCTGAAGAGTTGCTCTGCGAGAGCGTGGCTTGACAGCATTGCACCATGAAGCAGTGCACAGCCACTGCGCATGGTGCGGGAACTGGCAGGAACCAAGCCCGGGCCAACTCGAACAGAAGTCCTCTGAGCTTCGGTTTACGATTGGAGGAATATTTAGCCCCATCTCTTGCTTGTCACTGGACTCCTGTGGCGACCGCCCGTCGGCGGGCCATGGCTGATAAGGACCTTGCCTTCTACATTCTCCAGCATCTTCTCTGCGGCAACTGAGTGGCAAGAAAATAGACACAACTCAGATACAAGAGTGTGAGGACTGACCAGCTATTATTATTGTCCGGTGGGAGTACTTTTGGGGGCAGTGGTAGCATGTTCGCAGCAGGGTCCGAAGGTGCATAATCTTCGTCCCTTGCACAGACCTGCCTTGTCGCAGGCGCAACCGCAGTATTCATTGCGCCGCTCTGACAGCATGCTGATATGCGAGATTCTGAAAGAAATCCCGTGCTCGCGGCTCCAAGTCGCCTGTGTAAACCAGTCGCACCTGGCTCAACCAAAAAAAGCAAATAAATACCAGTACCATTTTGGAGGTTCCTTATTGTATCTATAGTATATTGTTATAATGGGCCCCAAAACCCTCTTCTAATTATTCAGGCCCTATATTACACACGTGCCAAGGCTGAGGGTTCATTGCGAGCTGCAGCGTCAAGTGTTGGTGCAAACGTGAGTCGTTGGCTAATCAACTCTCCCTCGCTGGAATCCCATGCTACCGACCGGCATCCTCCAAAAGGCAGCTACACGGAAAATCCCTGGCACTCGGTACAATTAGAACTGGCTGGAGCCCGGAGGACCGCGACGCAACCACAGAACCCTGCGAGTAATTGAAGCAATACATCGGGAATCATCGTGAGCAGGTGAGTTCAGGAAGAAATTAGCATGAACCTTGAAAGGGTTTCTTGTTCTTCCTTGCACAGACCGAGGCGCAACCTCATCTTGAATCTTCACGTGCTTGCCCGTCGCCGCTGGGCAGCTGCTTGAACGCCTACGATGATGTGGAGATGGCTCTTCAACGTCGAGGAAAGTGAGGCGGTACCTCCAAGCACGCTGCGGGGCGGCCAAGCAAACAAATTCCAATGGCAATGAGAAGCTGCAGTCTGGTTAAAGAACTGAACTCAAGTTACCATAGTTGGGATCTATATAGTAAACAAAAGGTTTCCTTGTTAAGGCAGCTTTAACCAGAATCCTTAACCAGAACCCGGCAAAGGTTGTTGGACGAGGCACCTGAGCTGAGCCGCCATACTGCAGTCTACTACTTTACTACTACTGCAGCCCACAAACCTGTGGTCTCTTTGGAGCCAAACACTACGGGATCATCTCAAACTTCCATGACCGCATGAGCTGCTCAGATCTTCTCTCACTCTCTCTCACCTCACTTCGCGATACTACCCTATGTATAACCCCTAAAACCCTAAACCCTCTTCCCTCAGATGGAAGCTTGGTACTGCTATCTTTTCCGTGCCGGCGAGCCGAGATTCTAGCAAAAATTGCCAGCCGTCAGCCTTGAGCTCAAGACGGCCTTGGTTGCGACTAATCTGAACCGCAAATCCGGAACACTGCACCATAAATGCTAAGCTCAAATCCGAAAGTAGAGTCGTAGGGGTTATGGACGTTAGAATAATCACAAGGGTTGACTACACCATGGACCATCCGCTAGTTTGCAGAATTTGGGGTGCTTGAGGTTCCTTAATGTGATGCCTGAGCTTGTCCACCGGCGGATTCGGCAGTAGGCATTCTAGGGGCATAGGGGCCTTAACAGTTAGAATAGGGTTTGGGGGTATATTGTACGATAAGTGTCACCAGGAACCCCAAAATCGGATTGGTAATTAAACCCTAAACCCTAAAACCCTAAAGCCCTAAAGTTTGTGTAGGCCCCCGCATTATGCGCCCTCATTCTGAACGGAGCGTGCCACTGAGGCCTCTCCTTGATCTCTGGTTAATCCGTGTTAGGGCGCAGCCTGGAACCCTAAACCCTCAAGCCCCCACCCTAGGGTTTAGGGTGTAGGTGTTTAGGGTTTAGGGTTTAGGCTAAAAGAGCTTGGGACTTTGAGCATTTGCGATGGAAACTTCCGTTCGGGCCGTGACAGTCGGCGTAGGACTTCGAGCTGCGCCACTGCATGGTAGATTATCATGATGACTATTAATAAACGTTAGGATTGTTGTTATTGCAGCAAACACCATTAGTCCTATAGATATAACGCAAGATGACTGCGACTACTACGATACATACCATGAATCCTACGAGTATCAACTCCTGGTCCCCGTAGCCCACAAGCAGGCGAGGCACAGGATTTGCGGCGTTGCGTTTGCTAACTCTGCTGTCCCCGTTCTTCAGGGCAGCTGAGAAGCTATTGTCCTTAAAAGGGGTTATGCCTCTCACCCACCCAGCATCTGCAGGATCGTCCATGCGAAGGCCTGTCACCCTCGGCCGGTGCGGCTTGGGGTCTCAAACTACCACTGAGTCAGAAGGGCTGGGTTGTGTGGTGCTGTGGTGCTGGGAGTTCGAACCTGCTTAGTTTGGGCGCCGTGTGGAAGAACTTCGCATCGGCAACTTCAGGAGTAAAACAAATTCTGCTCGTGAACACTGAAGATTTTAGCCCCTGCCCCTCACTATGCTTCCGTAGCATACGAAGAAACTGGGGTTCGGGTTTAGGGGATGTAGAGCTCATACTATTCTGCGCGGTTTCGGCCACATAATTCGGCAGGCAAGCATGGGGAGAGATACTGAAAACCCTGCGCACGACCACAACCCTAACCTGCAAGGTCTAAGATCTTGAACCCCAACGCTAGCGCTAATGCGCTTGCAGCGCTAGCCCCCTTGTCCTAGTTGCCAAAGCTCCACCATCCCAAAGCCTCAACCGTAAATCCAGGAAGGCAGAATTGAAATTGTAGGGCCCAGGGTTCAGGGCTCAGTTTCAACATTGGGGGCTCCCGGAGCTTAGGCTTGAGGTTACTCTGAAAAGTTGAGGGCTTAAACAGGGCGATCTATAGATCTCAACATCGCCACGATGCGTAGAGAGCATGGCCAGCACCTGCTGCATCTTTGTCTCCTCACGTTGCGTTGGCAAGGCGGATGTCCCTTGAGCTTGCAAAAAAAATAACTACTAATGCCGTCATATGATTGCTCTGGGTGAGTTGTAAGCCCTACTCCCATTGCCTTCTGTCTCAAGGGCCCAGAGCATACAGCCTCGAACCTCAAGCCCGAAACCCTCGGGGAGCCCTAGAATTGGAACAGCAGCTTCAAGAGGTTCTAAGCTCAGAGGCAACTCTCGGAAGAAGAACATGACTTCTCATAATGTCTCGAACATCGAGAAACTAGCTAACGTTTGGGGCTTAATAATTTGTTCAGGGCTGGAGGTCGTTTGCGCAGAGAAGTGCACATGGCTCGGCACTCATCAGAATTTGCACGTCAAACCTCGAGCATTTCGATCCATGTCAACCAAACGTGATTCATGACAGCATCTTCTGCACCAGTGAGCTTCCTGATGAAAGCAGCTAAGTTCGCAGCTTAGGGCTTTGGAGCCTCTTTCTCGTAGAATGTGTAGTCTGGAAAGAAGTACTCATGACACAGGAAAGGAAAGACATGCAATGTGGAGGTCTGAATAATGAGTAATCATGATACCGTCCCCTTATGGATATGATATGCCCCAGAAGCGCAGTAAGACCCCCATATCAATCCGCTCGGTCTCTGGTTCGCCAGGTACCAAGTCCTCTGCTTCCTTGAGCCTTACGACCTCCTAACCTCAAGCCCGACATCCTCGCGTCTTTAAGCCCGAACTAAGCTATCGTTAGTCTTAAGCATTCCACTACCGTCACTACTAGACTATAATTACCGCTAGTGTCTTGTCGTCACAACTCCAATTTAAACCCTAAGCTGTCGCTCTCAGTGTCTCAGTGTCTCGGCCAAGGTTCCATGTAGGTCTGGAAGTGTCCCTGGTTTTTGATCAGCCAGCTCTGGTCGTGAATGAGCTTTCCAACATCCACACCCCTTGCCTTCCAGGGTCAATGCTTCAAATCTTGCGCCAAAGGTGGAGGATCGGGGTCATACATGGCAGTGGCCAAGGTGGTGTGGTGGACGACCCCGTTAGGTCCATGCCCGCCGCTTCAATGGCAAACGCGAAACCCCAAACCCCTGAACCCCTAAACCGTAACCCCCTGACTCCTAAACCTCTTTACCAATATCAATGCATAAATATAAATATAAATATAAATATAAATATATATATATATTTCACTATAGATAGATAGATAGATAGATAGATAGATAGATGGATAGATAGATAGATAGATTAGACAGATCGATCGACAGATAGTATCATATCATACCACATATCTGTATGCGTGTGTGTATATATATATGTTTATGAATATGCTGCATATGCATCTAGTTATATCCTATGTACATAACCCTTAACCTTTTGGTGTTGTGTTCCGACTTTGGCGGCCTCGAAGCTCCTAAATGCCAAATGCCAGTTCCCAAATCCCAAATCCCATCTCAGCATCCTATCCGCAGACCGAAAGGTACCGAAAGCATCAACTTCCCTTGCGATAAAAGCCAATCATGTAGACCCGCGACTACAGAACCCCCCCCCTCCCTCAATGAGGATGATTATAGGCTTATAGGTATCAAGATCCTCACATTTTAGGTCACCATATAATTAAGGAAAGGCGATTCAGCCAAGGCCTGCAAAGCTGATTTGGGTCCTCCACGGGTGGGTCCAGGATATGGGGTTGAATGTCACAGTTATGTACCTGGGTTGAGGGACATTTACTAGGCTCCCCCGAAAACGGTGTATCGTACGTAACAATATTACTTATAGTTTGTATTGTATATCCTTTGTTGGTTCAACCAATACTATACACGTAGGATACTACAAGGCAACCCAAAAAAGGAACTACAATGGAGACTGTAAGCATAACCCTAGTGCAAGTTTTCAGCCGGGAATGTCTCTTGCGAAGGTCAGCCTGGCATGTCTACATCGGTGATTTCTTGCGAGGCCGGGATGTGCAAAAGGCAACCTTTATCATATGGGAGATAGTATAACTGTGTATAGTACGGTAAAGTAACATGGGGACTAATTATAACAAAAAAGGGGATATCATTATGACACCTCCGGACATTGTTCTTGTCTTCAGGAGTTGTACATCTAGGCATCCTCTCCGAGTTCAATCAATCCCAAAGACTCGGCATGGGTGATTGCTTCAACCTTCTGGCTTTCCCTACCTGCCGCAAGTACGTCAGATGGGAGGTACGGTTTTCGTTCCCTCATGGTCAGGTGTGCAGGACGCCTACACAAGTTGAGTTGCGTGCAGTGGACATCCACCGGCTTTTCGGGTGTAGGGTTCAGGGGTTTAGCTTAGCGTGGAGGGCTTCCTTAAGCAGAGGCTTGGCTAAGGTGGCGACCACATCTACAAGAAAGCTCTGAGGCTCAAGTCGCGCTGAACCCAGGGATGTATCGGCTATTGATATTGCTGCTGCCAAAGCCAAGATAGGCAAGTTAGAACCAGATTCAACACAACAAGAACCCGGTAAAACGAAGCACAAAAAAGTATAAGATTTGTACAGGAACCCTTCCTGTAAAGCCCCAGAGCAGCCGGGCAGACTAACCGTATAAGAACCCTATTATTAAAGCACCCAATTTTAGAACCCCATGCTGAAAACGCTGTAGACTGCTAAGACGGCCCGGAGAGACCGGTGTAGTGGTCAGGGAGGAAGTCAGGGGTTCGGGGTTTAGGCTTTCGGGCCTGACCACGCAGCCGCAGACAACCTTTGAAGAACTCTTCTATCTCCTGAGCAGGCTGTTTTAGGTCTGCATACTTGCAGTAGGGTCTAGGGCATTGGGCTGAGGGAGGTTTCGGTGGCTGTTCTGTAGGGGGCCTGAGTAGTTAGAATTGGGCTTTGGTGCATGTTGTACCACGCCCAGAATATTAGGGACTAAAATCAGGGATCATGTAATTCATGATTCCGACCACTAGACTGTAGGTTTCGGTGGCTGTACCATGCTCGACCAACGACGCATGCTACTTCGGGCTGCAGGGTGTGCGCGCGCTTGTTGCTATGATCCTGTCCTCTTCTGTCCGGACTTCAACAGCAAAATAAAGAATGGGGCTAGCAAACGAAGATTCAATTACAGGTACAGACCTTTACAGAGGTCTTAAGTATAATGTGTTCCAACGCATGACACATCACGAGCATCGCGTTTACGCTGTAGCAAGTCAAGAGCGCCGCTTGGAGTCAGGGTTTGGGATTGAGGCCCCAGTGCGCAGATTTCCATGGAACCACCGTGATCCCCTAAAGTCCTTAATGCCGCATACCAAGAGCCCTAAAGCCTAAACCCTAACACCAAGCCCAACACCCCAACCCACTGAAGGCACAAACCACCCAAGCCCTAAACACGCAACCCTAAAGTCCCGAACGACCAAACCTTAAATTTCAGAAGCCATAAGCCCGACGGCCCCGTCGCCCTAAAGTTGCAACCCTCAATCCCTAAAGACGAATTAAATGCTAGACGTCCTCATCCTCGACAAATCTTCGAAACCCAGCTAGGCCCTACAGCCTAAAAATATCAGGGTTAGGGTTTAAAATCCCCAAAAAATCGCAAGCCTTCAAGTGCAACCCATCTGGATCAATTCTGACAGTCGCCAGGCGTCGACAGCTCCACCACTATCGAGGTCTAGGAGTTTGAAGAATGACCAAGCATCCCAAACGTCGAGGCCTTTTCAGGGCGCTGGAGGTTTTTTTGGTCGAAACTTGAAGGCTTTATTAGTAGGTGGGGAGAAAAGTTTGGAACTTCCGCTTCAACGACGTTCCGTTAGCTGGTGGCTGGTGGGTAAGGCTCTGGTTGCAGTGGAGAGCCGCTCAAGGCCCCTTCAGAGACTTCAAGTACCGTCTGAAGACTTTGACTTTCAAGAAAGTTGTGTCAAAGTAACGTCTGAAAACTTGGACTTTGACGTGTGAGTGGTCACTCTACTGGTCTTACCGAAAAGCCGCAAGTAGTGCTACTGGTCTCGTTGAACGAGGCTCAGGTCCATCCCGGGACCGCTGCAAACCAGGTGCATCCGTCCGCTTGTGTTCAGAAAAGGCCGCTTTGTTCTGAGATTCTTCTCGCGTGCCGCTCTCAGTTCAGCAAGTGTCATCGAACAGTAGGTCGAGCCCTAAATCCTAAACCCAGGGGGCCTTGAATGCAACCCTGCCTAAGAAGCAAAGTGGCAAAAGGAGACCGAAGTGTTATGGCTCCATGTCAATTCAAGACGTCCTTTCTCGAACTGAGCCTGAATTCAACACAAGCACTCCGTCCACGATGGTTCTTACAAGACCTGCTCCAGATACCTTCAATTCTACTCTGACTTGTTTCCCCACTGGGGCCACCAATTAAGTTCAAGACCAGTTCAATTCCATGAAAGCCTCTAGCTCAACGCCCGAACCATGAGACTCCCCTAAACCCTGTATAGCAAACCCCAAAAAGTTGGAAACCGGATTAAGGACAAATAGTGCTGGGATTCCCTATACATTACTCTTAGGGATTGAGGCTATTGGGTTTCCAACTTTTGTGCTTCTCCTCTAAGCCCTAAGCCGTGGAGCTTAGCAGTTTAGAGGAGAAGGGGGGGGCCAGGCTTCCGCGGAAAGGGGCTTTGCGCTGTAATGTTGCGCTTACCAACATGCCTTTGAGCCCTCAGCTCAAAACTCCGCAGATCTCCAGTGCCATTCGGGACTTTCCGACAGTTAGGGGTATCCTATTTTGGGGTCCTTTAGAAGAAGGATCCTACTATTTAGGTTACTATACTAGGGTCCCCTACTTTCAACTGAGGGTCCCTTTTAGGGTCCTTTTTATAAGGGTGTCGTACTATATTGGGGACCGGAAAAGGGACCCTAATTTAGAGAACGACCCAGATGCAAAGTAACAATTCCCACATGCGCAAAGACCCGAAGTCCCAACCCCAAACACCAAAACCCCCAAGCGCCAAACCCCTGGTCCGCACAAGCTTCTGCGGATCAGAAAGACACGAGAACGGCCTAGCGTCTCGAAGTACTCCACAACGGCCTGTCTACGAGCAGGTTTAGGACTTTTAGTGGTTCAGCGTCTAGCTTGGAGGTCGTATCGGGGCCTCAACGATTAGAGGAAGGTTTTCGAGTAGTTATAACATACCATAACTGTAATAAAAAAACCCAAAAGAACAACAATAAGAAGGTAGATATAACATACCATAACTGTAATAAAAAAACCAAAATAACACTAATAAGAAGGAGACCCGAAGGATTAATTTTGGTAATCCTCAAGCTCTCCTGTTAGGCAAAGAGTTCGGAGATCGGCCCGGGAGAGCGGGAGTGTTGGCTTGGGGAGTTGCAGTTTAGTTCCGGGTTTTTGGGTTCAGGGTTTAGGTTTTAGGGTTTCAGGGGTCCAGGTTTTAGGGTTCAGGATTTAGGAATTAGGGAATTTTAGGGTTTTAGGGTTCAGGGTTTAGGGTTTGACGATGTTGGGCGTACTCTTCCGTGGTTGGGCTATTCCGGTTCGGACGTAGGAGCTAAGACGACAGAACAGCTTCAAGCCAGACTCCTTGTGAATCTTGGCAGAACACCATCTTAGCTGGCAAACCGTCCCAGAGTCCTGCAAGAGGTGCTAGGCCGATTGCGCGATTTCACATGAGCTATAGACCCACGCCTCACCCGTAAAACTCATGTCCCAGAGTCTACCCGCCCTAATCGCACAATTCCATGGAATGGAAGCCCACGGAGCGATCTGCAACATATAGGGTTTAGGGCTTAGGGTTTAGGGTTTAGGGTATAGCCCTAGGCCTAAACCGAATCTTGGCTGCTTAGGTCCGGATCGAATCTTGCAGACGTGAAAGTCTTAGGCCCCCGAGCCGAAGAGCCCTAAAGCGACCCATGATTGAAACCTGAGTAGACTAGAGCCATGCCACCCCAAAAAAAAACCCGAAAGATCATCTACTCGTAGCCCTTTAAACCCTAAACCCTTAGCAGACCTCCAAGTCCCAGACCCGAGAGGCCCTTTAAACCCTGCACCTCCACAAGCCCTCAACCCTACACTCTCCAAACTCCGAAACCCAAAAATGGGCACCGAAACAAAAACAAAAAGAACACACCGGGTGGGAACCTGGGAGTTCACCCCCTCCTCGAACATGGAGTACCTGAGTAGGACTTCGGGCTTTAGGAATCGAGGGTTTCGGGTCTAGGATTGTGTTCTTTCTTGTTATGGGCTCTTTTCAAGCAGAAACCCTTGAGCTCGCATTAGGGATTTCGGGCCTTGCACGGCTTTGGGAGTCTTAGGCTTAAAGCTTCTGGGCTGTTGGGGTTTAAAGCTTGGGCTTGGGGGCTTACCTGACAGGTCGTTGAGGGCCTGCAGGCATTTTAGGGGTTTAGGGTTTAGGGTTTCGGGTTTAGGGTTCAGGGTTCTGTGCACCGGAAGGAGTTCAGGGTTTCTGGCTTCTGGCCAACGGAAGCAGCACAGGACTTGAGGGCTTTGGGGCACAACGCTCGGGCTTCGAGGGCTTCGAAACTCCTTTCCTCCTGTACACGGTTGATAAGTTAGGGTTTAGGGTTTAGGGTTCAGAGGTTAGGGTTTGCAGGGTTTAGGGTTTAGGGTTCAGAGGTTAGGGTTTAGGGTTTAGGGTTCAGAGGTTAGGGTTTAGGGTTTAGGGTTCAGAGGTTTCGGAACGGGATGTGGGGTTGTTTGGCTTGGGAAAGCAACACATGTGCTTCAGAGACCATTCCACTCTTGAAAATGTCTACGGGGAAACGGCTCTATCGGTAGTCACGAGGAGTCGAAGTCCTGATCTCAGAAATGCACCATGGGCATGTGAAGAACTTGAGAAGCTTGACTATTCATGGCTTCCAGGAAACCAGCCTTAAATCCGAAAGCCTAGTAATCCCTAAAAAGCTGAACACCCATACCAAGAACACGACAGGCTTACTGCTCAGAGCATGACCGGCCCAACTATGCCCAAAGCGCCCGACTCAGGGAATATTCTGGGCGCATGAAGCTTTGCTCCGTGTCCGAGGTGCGTAATGATGCCATCCCTGTCCGCACCCAGCTTGCTGAACAGAGCGCGGATCCTAGTCGGACATAAAGGAAGGTTTGGGTAGGTTCGGGTTTGGGGTAAACAGGCTCAGGTGTGCAACGGCTTGAGTTTAGAGTTTGGGGGTTTCATGAGGGGTTTTGGGATTTAATTTAGAACGGCTCCCTGATATATGCCCCTCGAACAATGGAGACATCCCTCTTCCCTACCGGAAAATCCATTCATCGGGGATCGGCTGGTTGGTACCAGTACATTTAATGCAGTCGTCGTGGTCGCAGTCGTAGTATATAACAGTCGTGGTCGTACAGGTAGCAGTAGTCGTTGTCGTAGTATTGGCGCGTAGTTTCTGTGTTTGGCAATAGTACTATAGTCGTAGTACTTAAGCAAGGCCCCAAAATTTCAGGGTTCGGTTCCTCAAGCAATTAGAATGGGCTCTTTGGGTATGTGAAGGGGAGCCCTACGAAATCGTACTAGGAATTATTGAGGCAGCTATACTACAGCATTCACTGCTAATCGTACCTTGACCATCAGCAGACGGGACTCCGGACAGAATATGAACAAATCGATTTCGACCGAAAACTTCACATGAACGCCGGTACTGCGAAACAACCCAAAAATTGCACCCGACACTGTCGCTCAAAGGGACGACAGAGAACGACAGCGCCAAATCCAGAAGTCCTACGCATCCTGGTTGAAACTCAAGAGCCACGACTGCATGAATGCTCAAACGGCCGAATTCTGAAATCCGTGGTTCTTTTAGGGTTTAGGGACCTCAAGGAAAGACCTCGCAGTCCCGCACGTCCACTCCAGGTGGGGCTCAGTTAGCTGGACAAGGTTTATTGCTTCATGCTCTACCAGATGCGCAGAGGACTAGTAAACGAATAGGAGTTTCATTTCGCTCTCTATGTCTAGGACATTGTCAGGTGGGTAGTTACCGCTATTGGAGCCTTATAGAAGTTCTATATACCCTATAGAAGCCTTATAGAAGCCCAAAAAAACCCTAAACTCCCCACCTGTAGTTTCCTTTACATATGTTCTCGCAAATCGAATGCAGAGTCGTTGAGACTCAACTTCTAAGTTCAAAAGCCCCCTCCCACCCCCCGATACGGGGTCGAAACTTTAGAAGGCTTCAGGGAACCCTGGGGTTCGCGTTTAGGGTTTCTACGGCTTGGACCCTGAGGAGAAGGATTCTTACTTTTTTGCTGCCGGCGCCCTTCGAGAGGGTAACCCCCTATTAAATGTATTATACTAGATATACCCTGTTGTGGAAGAACATCCCCTAAATGCTAAATAAATAACCACAACCCTAAACCCTAAAATCTCGAAGTTGAAGGTTGTGGGCGATCCGAGGAACTTCTCGACGTGGGCTTCCTGTCGCTTGCAGACGTCGGCTGAGGTTGGGATTGCTTGAGCCTACCACAAGGCAACTTAGGGTTTACCCCTGAACCCCAAACCCTAAACCCCTAAACCTCTAAACACCAATAACCCCTAAACCCGCCACAGGAACTCAAGAAAAAGCAGGAACTTTTTGGATGGGAGAGTTGTTGGAGGGGAGGCGGGGAGAGTTGTTGGATTGGGACTCGTGGGGTTCAGGATTTTGGGGTTGATGTAAGAATAGGGTGTTGGGGTAGAGTATACAATAGTTGTAATAAGGAGCCCCCAAAATAGTATAGTATAGGCAATTATTAAGGGCCCTTTTTTGTGAAGGGGCTGGGGCCTCAAGACTGCTCGTGGATTCTTCACGAAGCCCACACTCCTGAAGCCACGCTATTGAGAAGTCGGGTCCTGTGATCCTGTAAACCCGGAACCGGAAGTCCGAAGCAGTAGACCCAGCCCTAGAAAGCTTAAGCCAGACACAAAAGCCTATCATGTTCTGCCCGAGCACCGATTAACAAAAAAAACTCTAAGACTCAAAGCTTGACAGTGTCATTGCGCAAGTCCTCAGTCCGATGCCTCTTGAACCCTGGGCGAAATCCTGCGAAGCCTCCGTCCTAGGCCTTGTCGGGGGTTCGTGACAAGCATCGACTATCAAGCTGCGGTCACAACAAGGGTGAGGGTTTAGGGTTTATAGTGTTTAATAGTTTAGAAGAGGTAGGGTTTCAGGTGAAGACTACAAGAGTTCAGCCCAAAAGCCCTAAACACAACTCTAATTATGTACTTCTGTCAGGCTCAGGGTCTGGATCGCTTGGCTGAACGAACGGACCAGAATTCCTCTCTTCGAGGTCTCTGAAACATGTGCTATATGTGGTCGCATGGTCTTACTTCGGATCTTATGTCCTGAGGGAGCTGTGCAGAACCCCTGTCTTCCGTCGATTGCATTTTCCTCAAGTTCTCAGTGTCCGAAGCAAACCCTAAACACGAAGCCACCTAAACTCTAAAGCATAATCCTCAAGAAGAAATTTGAATAGAACTTGTATGTTCTCTTACTGTTTTCACGACCAGGCGGGTTTCACGACCAGGCGCGAGCCCACCACCCCAATCCAGTTTAGTCCAGCCAACCCAGGCCAGCTCGCTCAACACTGATCGGCACCCGAACCCTACACCGGTCCTTGTTGGCAAGCATCGACTGCACCACATTGGCGTGATCATTCTGGGCACTCTCTATAGCACTCTGACAGAACCTGGGCAGAGGACTCTGGCCGATTTTAAAACGGACATATGCAAATATACATATAACATATTGTACAGTATGATATAATAGAACAGAACAGAAAACAACGGAACAGAACAGTATAGCATGGAATGGAATCGAATAGACTAGAAGCGAATAGAATAGAAGACAAACATAATCGAGTATAATACTATATCATATCAGTCATACCGTGTCATGTCATATCATATCGTCGTATCATATCATGTCACATCAACCATCCATACTGTACCATATCCCATCATAGCATAGCATTCTGTATTAAATCATGTTATAGCATACTACTTCGTGTGAAATTAACCTATTCTGCTGAACTTCGGTACATTATATTGGATTATGTATTATGTTATGTATCATAGTATATATGTTACTATGTACTAGATTTAACATCATATGATGCTCCGAATCCTGCTTTTTATATTGTGTTATATTAATGATTAATGCTATGTTATGCTAGACTATGTTTCAACCTACCATATTCTATGGTACAGCATTTACTTTATTACATATGCCGTGAAACCCATCTCAGACTCAGGAGTTTCTTGAATGCCTTTGTCGAGGTACTTGGGCATCCTTGCCTTGGGACCTTTGGGGTGGCTAGCGGCTGTGGGATCTGGTCACCCAGGGTTTAGGGTTTAGGGGCTTCCATACCAACTCAAGCTTAACGTCTCAGAGGTACGAGGGCAAGCACTTCAGCCGTGCTTTTCGTGGGGTGTCTTTCTGGCTTGAAAGTTTATGCGCAACCTGTGCAAGACAGTATCAGCTCTGCGGTTCATTCCTATACCCTAAATAGATCGTAATATCAAGATTCCCTGCTAGGAAAACCAAGAGACACGCCCGTCAGCACGTTGAGAACCGCGAAGTACCTTTGGCTGAGAAACAAGTCTGTCTGCGCACGCTGATGTGATGAGTGGTGCAGCGCAGCCCTAACCCCCTCACCCAGAAAAATATAGACCCGATCTTGCGAGCTTGCCCATGCCAGACAAAGGGGAAGTTCTGTACTTCCGACTGCAGGAAATGCAACGCCATGCTGACAGATCGATGGCTCACTCGTCCGACGGCCTCTCTAAGGTACTTTGATTGCGTTGGTTCTCGGTTCTGCAGTGACGAGGAAAAAGGTTAAAAAGATGCGAAGGATGAGAACAGCGATGTTCATCGTGATGTTGATGCTACGTTACCAGGCTATGTTGCTGCAACTGACAGAATTGCCGTAGTGGCGATATAGTTGCATTAGCCTTTGCACTCGTAGTGGTCACGGTGGTGATGATCGGCATGCTGGTGATGATGTCAATGGTATTTGGAGTTGTCGTTGAGATTGCTGTAAGTCTCGACGTCAAGGATGACGATGGTCCAGACAACCACTGCACGGAGGCTGCAGCAGCTGATAATGATGATGGTGATTGTTGCTACTGCTAGCCATACTCCACTACTTCATTCTGCCTGGTATGGCAAGTTGGCATGTTCTGTACCTTTGCAACTCGACTCTCAACCTCCGAACCCTTGAGACACTAAACTCTAAATCCTCGAACCCTGAATGCCCAAACCACCAACTCCCAAATCCCTGACACCCTTAGATGATGATCCACTGTCCATCTACGCATCTGTCTATCTGTCTACCTATCGTCTATGGATCTACTTATCTATCTATCTATCTATCTGTCTATCTATGTATCTATCTATTTATCTACCTACCTACGAGCTACCTACACCTACCTATCTGCCTACCTACCTCCCTACCTCCCTACCTCCCTACCTCCCTACCTCCCTACCTCCCTACCTCCCTACCTACCTACCTACCTACCTACCTACCTAGCTATCTATCTAATTATTCATTGATCTGTCTATCTTTCTTTTTTTCGAAACTATCACTAATAAACTATCTGTCTACCTGTCTGCCTGTCTGCCTGCCTGAATGTCGGTCTCTGTGCCTCTCTGTCTATCTGTTTGTCTGTCTCTCTGCCTCTCCGTCTCTCCGTCTCTCTGTCTTTGTCTCTCCGTCTCTCCGGCTCGCTGTCTCTCTGTCTGTCTGTCTGTCTGTCTGTCTGTCTGTCTGTCTGTCTGTCTGTCTGTTCGTTTGTCTGTCTGCATTGTCCGTTTGTCTGTCTGCATTGTCGGTCTGTCTGGCACCCCGCCTGCCTCTGCCTATCTGCCCATCTGTCCACCAGTCCATCTGTCTATCTGTCTGTCTGTCGATCCTTCTGTTTACACATCTATCTATAAGCATGTACATCGGCATGGCCCTGAAACCCTTTTATAGATCCCATGACATTTCCATGCCCTAGGGACGTAAACGCAACGTAGAAGAGGAAGACCAATACCCAGATCATCGAGATCTTTTCCAAGGGGTCCAGGACTTCCTCTTAGGCTTCCGGGGGTTAGGGGTTCAGGGTTTAGGGTTCAGGGGTTAAGGCTCTAAGGTTCTAAAGGCATTCCCTTTAAGGGCTTTGGCTGCAGAGGGGGTAGGCTCTCTGGTTTGATATGTTTTCGGACTTTTGGGTTCAACGCGTCTGCAGGGCGAGGCTTTGGGATGTCGAGTTTAGGAGTTAGGCCTTGGGGCTTAGGGTTTAGAATATGAGGCCTGGGGCTGTAGAGATGCGCCTTTCCCCTGGGCCCTGGGCCCAGTATGCGGAGTTTATGAACTACAGGTCAGGGTACTTGAATCAAATACCAGCATGGAATGCACATAATCAGATCTCCCTGGAATTGAGCGAGAGTTTCCACTGGAGCTCCTTTATGGGGCTTAACCAAATATCTGTTTAGGATCCTATAAGGTAGCCCCACAAGGAACTACAATGGAGACTACAGGCAGGGTTGGGAAGAACAGCTACGCTTAGCCCTCGAAGGCCTCACCATTTTGAATCTGAAGGATTCAACATGCCGCTTCAATTAACTCTCGTAATGTAGGGGCCTTAGTCATTAGGCCAGTGTTTTGGGGTATGTTCTGCTATAAGTAAAATAAGGAACCCCCCAATATAGTATAGGCAATTACTATGGCCCCTATATTACCTCCTGGCTGGCACAATCCTCAAGCCAGAGCATCGAAGGAGTTTACGTTGCAGCAATGCTTGGGGGCTTCCCTTGCAAGTTTTTTGCGCCGGCATGTAGCACTTCGTGTTTCGTGTTGATCGTGAAGCCTCATAGGCCTCAGCACCACCTTCACGACTGCCAATGCCACTCCTTCTACTCAGTGCTAGCTAAACCGATGTCAAAGTCATGGCCATGAAATCTGTGGTAGGAGGTGGTCTCTGAAGCATCATCAGATGTTCCTGAAGACGGGAGACATCGCTTGAATAGGGGGGCCGGAAAAGATTGGTATGAAAAAACCTTGTAGCCCCGATTTAACTATGCCAGAAAGGACCCGCGAACCTATTCTAACCAGGAGCGCTGCTATGTGGTCCATGAATCGCCTAAAATCGCAAGCAAACAAACGCCATCTTCAACTAAACTTCCAAAGCCTTCCGCAAACAGGTGGAGAGGGGGAGGGAGGGAGAGAGATATAGAGAGAGAGAGAGAGAGAGAGAAAGAGCGAGCGAGGGAGATTTTTGGTGTTTAAATGCTGATATGTTGATGTAGGCCCTTGTGAAACTCTTCCGCACCTTTGAAAAACCGTCATGAACCCTGTAAAGCTCTAAACCCCCCCCTACACCCTATGTCCACGTCTTATTCCAGGAATTCCCCAAACACTAGGTTGGGGGTTTAGGGTAGCCGGTACCGAGTCCTCCCAACTCACACCACCAGAGATGGCTTTGAAGAGACTGAGCCTTCAAAGACAGCTGCCCAGGGGCAAGGATTTGGGGCTTGTGGGGCTTGAAAGTCTAGGGTTTCGGGATTCAGGGGTTAGGGTTCTGAATCATGATGCAGGACCTCGGGGTTTAGGGCTAGGTCTTTGAGGTTTCGGGATTCGAGGGTGTAGTTGAGATTTCAGCGTCTGGGGCCTGGGAAGCCCTTAGCGGACCAGGGTTACCCAGTACTGAGTGGATCTGATAAATGCACAGAATCACAGATGACACGCCCTTCACTGACAATGACAGCAAGAATCACTTACGACACTGTGAGCCAGTGCAACAATGATGCTGCTCATCCCCATGTCTGGGAGTAGCTCACTTTACACGGTGATCTGGCCAACAACTTCGTGCCACACACTCAGACTGCTGTCCGAGGACGTCCGGAATGGTTGAGAGGGATACCGACTTGGAGGTGGGCCTGGAAGGGGGTTGTGGTTCAGCGTCCAAGGTTGAGGGCCTGGGACTGAGGGATCCGGGTGCGCGACAAGTGGCATTGTGTGGGGCAAGGAGCCAAAATACCTCGGCTGACTGTCCAACAAGCCTCAAATCCATGGAATTAGGTCACGGCACACTGAATGTTTCAAGGGTTCAAGCACGCCAGAACCCTTCAGGGGGCTATGCCGCTATGCTGGTGGGAAGGAGCTCGGTACATGTGCTCACACCTCACAAGACCGGACGCCTTAAAATGCTGTGCTGGATTCTTCGCTCGGTCATAGCCCTTGGTGATTCGGAAACCCCTTCGCCCAGCTGAATCAAGTATCAAAGACTAGAGTCCAGGGGCACCACAAACTCGGATGCTACCAAACCCCGAACGGAACCCGTCAGTGATAGCAATCAGGATGCTAGTCACAATCAAAGTGGCAAGGAAAGACGAAGCATTGCTAGAAAGGCTTGCAGCTGTCCCTGGCGTAAAGAGTCGCAGGCCCTGCATGCCGAAATCAACTGCCAGCACCGATCGGGAAGCGAATAAGCTTCGAGTTTAGCATTCAATCGTTCCATCTTGGGGTTAGCGATTTAGGAACACATGTCTGGGGAGTAATGGTTATTTCGGATTGAACATGATGGGTTCAGGGAAGTTAACTTAGTGCACTGCTGTTGCAAAGCTTCGACATCCGAAACTTCTCTGGATGCTTGAAGTGGTAGCGGCGAAGCTGCCGGATCATTCACAAACAAGTAGAAGGCAGAAAGGCCACAACAACTTACGAACCCACGGCAACAAAGCTATTCATGCCCACCACTGCCATCACCACCACCACCGACCACAGTGAGCAACAATCTTGTTCTGAGGAACACTGCTGACAAGCTAGGACAGTACGTAGGTTTGATCATGCAGAGACTGAGTGAAGGCGCTTTGTCGCCGATACGACGAGAGCTTCGTCCAGGGCGGAAGAGTCCGCCAGATGATCACTGACCGCCTCGTGTTGGTACGTTAGACGGACTGGGTATATTGTAGCAATGCAATGCAGATACGATAGCCCTAAACCCTAAACCCTGGCCCTAGCCCCTTAACCCCAAGCCCCTACGACTGACTGCTACCTCTAAATCAGCAAGTCAGGCTGCCAGGGACCTAACGGGATTATAAGCAACTGGGCTTGGGGTTTACGGTTTATTCGTATGCCTTTTCTACTCTGTCCCGTTATCTTTTAACTAGTCGGTTAAGATGTTTTGAGAGTTACAGGGCACGATCCGATTGGAACCCGACATCGTGGACCGTCAACTCTGATAGTTAGGGTTTAGGAACGTCTGGGGTTTAGGAACTGGGACTTAGAGAAAAGGAGAGCTTAAGGTTTAGGGCTTAGAGAAGTTTGGGGCGTATGGGTTTATATACGTGCTGGGACCTAGATTCAAGAAGCACAGCTTAACCCGCCGGCTGTTGTTGAATCCCAAAACCTACCTGGACAAGCACCACCTCTCGTGCCAACATGACCAGAACAAATAGGCGGCTTTCAAAACATGAGCTAAAAGGCACAATAATGAATGCATACACACACTGTTATACCATGTATATATGCATATCTACATATGTGTATATATATATACACATACATATACAATCATATACATACATATAAATAAATATATATATATATATACATCTCTCTCTCTATATATATATACATATATATATGTATTCTTGTTTGTTCGTGTGTGTGCGTGTGTGTCTGTGTCTCAAATTGCATATGCAATCTCAGGAAGAAATGGCAGAGAGTAGATTCCAAAATCTCGTCGAGGCCTTGAACACCATCGATGGCCGAGCAGTCTCCCCAGCATCATGCATCGCAGGCATACATATAGTATATTATAGTATGCTATAGTATATTATAGTATCTTATAGTATACTATAGTATATTATAGTATATTAGAGAGCAGAGAGCATTGGGCTCACACCTGCATAAAAACAATCGACATCACCAGGCAATGAGCACATACCGGCGATACAGATAACAACACTTCGTGCCCGACGACACACACGGAAACTAGCGGGGCCAGGGCGGCACAAAGTTGTGCAAAGGGGTTGGGAAACGACACAAACACGAGCCAAACGACAGCACACTTGGGGTAGTTAGACCTAGGACTCTACCGTTTTCACCTTGTGAGGGTTCCTTTGGTTCTTCTTTACCCCGTATCGAGAACCTGTTGCAAGCCCGACACTCTCCACTACGATAGGCCTGTGCCAGGAGCACCGAAAAAACGTAGATGATAAGTGCCAGCAGCACCAGTGCCCAAAATAGGGATCGCAGCGTATACCTTCAGTGCGCTCTCAACAGGATGCGCGTGGTTTACAAGAATCTCAAGCATAATCGGCCCAAGGCAATCTCTACCCCTCATGCCCCTCCAACCCCCCCGACCCCTCAGCGCCCACTACTGGACCATGATTTCGGAGTAGTGATTTCGTCAACAACATCGAGCCCGAGGCAAGCCCTGCCCCGTGATGGATCTCCGACCCTCCCGACATCTCAGCGCGCCGACTACTGGACCATGCCTTCAGAATAGTGATTTGTTGTCGTCAGCCCTCGCCCCCCCTGCAGGAGGCTCAGGCTTTCCAGCTCAAGACCGGCCGATAAGTTGGTAGAGCAAGGTGTGCCTGCTTGGAAGTCGGCACTTTGGGAATTTAAGACTTGAGCATTGGACGTTTTCCGCGCCTGCTTTCGGAAAATTTGCACCCAAGCCCTCACTGCCACAAGCCACAAGAAACAAATTACGCGCGCAACGAAAGGACTTGCTTTGAAGTTTGCGTGCACGAAGCCTGCCTCGCGGGGTAGCATTGGCGGCAGCCGCCCGTGGGATCAGCCGCTAGAAAAATAATTTAACGCTCGTAATAAATACGGATAAGAAGGAAAACAAAAGTACTATAGTACTAATGCCAATTGTAGCCATACCCACGAAAACGCTAATGCGATCACATGCTGTATATGCGAACGCAGATCCCCGAACTGTGAAAGACCGTACCTGCACTTATGTCATGTAGGAGCAGGTAGTCATAGGCTCCTAAGTAGTTCCTTTTTGTGGTTCATATTTAGAATCCCACAAGGTGATCCCAAAAAGGAACTACTAAGGAGCCCGGCCGGTAGTTGGCTCTGCTTACGAAAATCAAGGTCGCAACTCGCTTTGTCCGTACTACCGGGAGGATCGGGAGCACAGTCACCACCCACGCAGCCTGTGGTTCCCTAGTGGGCAAAATACAGCTCGCAACTTTAGCTGCCATCTGCACTATTCCAGCAGTTCCGCCGCTTTTCGGAAACCTTCCGCCCACCCAGTTTGTTTTTTTGTGCGAAGACACCAGGATGGAGGCACCAGGGTCATCAGAGCTCAGGAGCCATAGGGAAGCATTCCGCAGAATCACTACGCCCGTACTCGAACACACCCGTTGGAAGCCCAGGAGCCATGGAGACCGCGAGGATGCTGCTTTCCAGAAGTACTGGACATTAAGGAGCACTCTGGGAATGCTTTCCAACCAAATACTGTTGAAACTGCTTTTCCTTTTAGCTTGCGGTGTTTATAAAGGGACATCGCGAATCGTTTCCCCGAAATACTGCTGCGATTCAGGTTGTCGAGCGCCCAAAGTGGTCCATGTCGCCTTATTTACAATGAATCCTGGCCTGCAGCACGCATAATCCTCTTTTTCTGTAATAAAACGATGCCAGCGGAAAGTATGCACCACACCACAGCAGCAATGCCCACGTCCGATGCATCCTGTGTAAATAATGGGACGCGGGGAGACGATTTGCAGCGGTTAGTGCAAATAGTCGGACACGGGGAGCCATCTTTGCACGCATGTCGCGCGGCCAGCTCAGTCAAGTCTGTCTATACACTGAACGCCCGAAGAAGGAGTCTTTAGATGTCTCTAGGTTTAGGAATTTCGAGACAGCGCCTTTCGTGCGTGATGACAACCACCGACAATCTAAGCTCTGGTGCCAAGCTGCAGAATAGATGTGATCAGAGTCCTACAAGGAGTCGAGGGATGACTTCGTGTCTTCGTGCAGCTACTAAGTTGTTCTCAACTCCAGACTCTCTATTCCCTCAGCTCACCCTTCGCTATAAACCGTGAACCTCATATGAGGATGTGTTATACCAGGAGGAACACGGCACCCTAACTTTTCATTGTCAAGGACATGCAAAATTGCGGTTCTTGGCTCCCCAGAGTCTAGCGAGGGTAAGTAACCCCTAAACCCCTAAACCCTAAACCTTTCTGCCCCGGAACCCGAAACCCTGAACCTCGAACCCCTAAACCCGGAAACCCTAAACCCCTAAACCCTAAACTCCTAACCCCTAAACTCCTAAACCTTTCGCATTTGCCCCTAAACATGCTTTCGGATCGAGAGGTTCCAGGGTGCGGCGATGGGAATGCCACGAAAAACAGTCGCAACCGAACCAAACGCAGAATAAGGGTTTAGGGTTTAGGGTTTTAGGGGTTTAGGGCTAGGGGTTTAGGGTTCAGGGTTCAGAACTCGACAACGACAGACAATCACAAACCACCTGAAACCTCAAGCCTCACCTGAACCCTGAAGACAAACCTGCCCTTTCCAAGGCTCCTTATTTTGGTTTCCTGATATGTGTCTCAGAAATGCCCGGTTTGTGGAGCCTCCTATATCTGGAAAATCGTATGCTCTGAACCCAGACTAAACCCCCAAACCCTAAACCCCTAAACCCAGAACCCTAAACCCCTAAACTCCTAGCCCCCTAAACCCCAAACCCTAAGCCCCAAACCCCGAACCCCGGATCTGAACCTGAGCCCCGTCCTCAAGGCCATGACAAATCGGAAGACCCTGACCAGCCGAAGTGTTTTTAAAAAGCCTCAGTCTCTCGCAGGGCTTCTTTGTTGCTCTCTTGTGGGCGAAGGCCATTTCTTGGGGATGAGGCTTGAGGGTTTAGGGATTGGAAACGAAATTAAGTTTGGTAAGGGGGATCTTGCTACATACTATGAACATGTTAGGGAAGGTTGAAGAATGCTTCATTACCAGAACTTCACATACTCAGACCCATAGAATAACAGTCGGTCCCGAGGCGAACTTGGTGTTACTCAACCCGTTGCCGCCCAACATGGGCATCAACGATTTCCCGGCATTGTTTCGGAGCCCAAGGTTGCAGCAGCTAGCACACCCCAACTTCGGAGCATGTCAGCTTAAAGCAAATTCACTGAAGAGTCCCAGGGCAGATGTCCTTTCAAAGCTGAGGCTACGAGGAATGCTTGTGGTTTCACTATACCCAGGGCCTGGAAGCAGCGTTCTATCTCCCCCAAGGTTTATTTGCTCAAGCGCACATTGGCATCTTTCGGTGCGCGGATTCGATGATCCGGGAAAGCCTAAAAAGCCTACGGAGATGGAGGGCAGCAAAGTGCTCGGGAGCTCGGGGTGCTTTCACACGATTTCAACGTGTGTCCAGAGCGCTCATTCGGGCCTAGGGTTCAGGGGCTTATGGCTTAGGGTTTGGGGGTTAAGGGGTGTCAGGGTTCAGAATTTTGGGCAACGAAGACAAGCTGCTCTTCACATTGGCGAGCGGGGTTTGGCTTTGGGCTTCTCGAACATTAGAGAGGCTTTAGTAATCGAAATAGGGTCTTACGGTGTCTTTTATGCTACGTAAAGTACGAGTCCAACCCGGCCATCCACCATAATCGGATGACTGAAATTCGAGTCGAGGTTTTAGGGCTGAAGGTTTAGGGTTCACGGCTTCAGGGCCTAGGATGTTGGCCAGCTTGCCAGAGTCGACACCTGGAAGTACGTTCGTTCACGATAAACCGAATTGATCCCAAGCCTCCAATCCGGACTTTATCGGTTCTGATCATCATTCCGGGGAGCGGGTGATCCGTATCACGCGGAAGGCGCGGAGGCCTGACCTTTGAAAAGCAATAGTTGTGGTCTTCAACTCAAGGCCAAAATGTACGAGGTCTAGGTGGAGAGAGAAGCCCCAAAACCCCAAACCCTCAAGCGCACAAACTACGCTGCGACCCCCAGAATCGAAGCCCACAACTGCCCCAGCCGAACGAAATTTATGGCTTTGGCTCCCGGCGTCAAGCTTTGTGCTTAGAGCCGGAAGTTCACGAGCATCCAATTGAAAGGGTTGGATGATGATTGTGATGATGATGGTGGTGGTGATGTTGAAGGTAGTGAGGGTGGTGAGGGTGGTGATGGTGGTGGTGATGGTGGTGGTGGTGGTGGTGGAAGGTGGTGAAGGTGGCGGTGGCTGTGGTGGTAGTTGGGGAAGCAGTGGCGGTGGCGGTGGTGGCGGTGGTGTGGAGATAGCATCGGCTGCGATAGCCGTAGCGGCAGTGGCTGCGGCTGTGGTGGGCACGAATATCCTTGTAGCATGCAGCCCTTTATGACAGACTTCAGCCTCTGCACACAGCAAAAGCTGGACAAATCTAGGCCGATACATCGGACCCCGGCGCAGCTTGCCAAGCGAGCTGCGAAAACAAGTAGTGTAGACCCTTGAGTGAAATGCCACTTTCCTCAATACGGCTTGTGATGCTTTTTGTAATGGGGTAAGCTTCAGCAGAGGAGGTTTGTCAATTCAATATAATCTTTGATAATCAAGCCGGGCGTCACGTCCGTCCCAACCTGTGCCTCAACGATGTTGAAGCCCACCTTGCAGGGTTCCCAAAGAGCTCGCGGCCCGGGGTTCGGGTCACTCTCTCTGTGCTTTTGGGGTTCAAGGTTGCCAACCAACTGTGGCGGCAAGACGTTTCAAGCTACCAGGTTTAAGGGCTTACGGGTTTTAGGGTTTTGGATTTAGGGGTTTAGGGTCTAGGGTTTGAAGCTTCAAGTTACCAGGTCAAGCTTGGCGGATAGAGTTCCGGATTGCGAGCTGTGCTGCGGAAAAAGGCGTTTTGCCATAGGTGTTTCTAGATTGGAGAAGGACCATCAACACAGAATTCTAGACCCAAAGGTTCATCTGGTGGGTTATCATCCTCGTAGAAAATCGAAGGGCTAAGCCGCTGAGCACGAGTAGGCAGGAGATCCCCAACACAAGTCGAACACCTCGGTGAATAGAGAGTCAAACCGAGTCAAACCCCTGCGCCCGCACCCGAGACTCCGAACCCTAACACCCAAGAATCTTAATCCCAAGGAGACCCCGCACATCCTATTCCAAGCATATGGGACATAAGTACAAACCAACTCAAAAGGAAGCAGGTGGACATTCGGGCAATATAGACTTGGCTAAGATCCGATGGTCCAAAGTAGGGCGGTTCTTGCTGGGATCCGATGTCAAAGGGCTTCGTTCGAGTCTTATCAAGTTTAGGGTTTAAGGTTTACGAGCCTTAACTTTAAACAATCGGCCACCCACTATCTAGGCTGTCCAAAGGCGCAGACTATAAAGGCCTTGGTGTCTTTCATTATGAACCCTCAAACTAAACACGCAAACAAACGCCAGATCAGTCATAAGAGCTCGGAAAATGAAACCCAACAGCCCCGACGGCCCCATGAAAGACTCCTCAGCTGTGCTCAGCCTCGGCGAGGCTGCTTGCGACCACCACCAGATCCAGCCAGGCCCACATCCACTCCTGCTCGCTTGCTTAGGGTTTACCCATAGGCTCCATAGTAGTTCCTTTTTGGGATTACCTTATAGGATCCTATATATATATACATATATAAACGTCAAAAAGGAACTACTGTGGAGCCTGTGGGTAGGGTTTGGGGTTCTGCAGCAGTTTTTCTGGCAGCTCCCCTTCTTAGACGTTAGTTCAAGGTTTGTCCTTGCAGGTGTTGCGCAGGCTTGAAGCTGTGAAGCTTAGGGTTAGCGTGGGCAGTGTGGGTGTTTTTCCATGTACTGTGTTTAGGGTATACCTGGATCATTCAAAGCCTCTTATATACCCAAAAGAAGCGAATGCTAAACCCTCAAGAAGGTAGGTGCTGATGGTCCAGGTGGGGTTTCAAGCTTACAAGCTAGAAGGCCTACACGTCACATCTATTGGGCTTAGTACTGTTGCCTGAAAGCACCACAAAAGTTCACCCTGCGCAAGACCCTGAAAGCCAAACCCCCAAGCTGAAAAATCTACACCCAACTCGGAACACCAAATTCCTTAAACCAGTAATCCTTCTAGGAGTCCGGCTTGCAACCTTTCAAAGCAACCCTTTCTCGGAACACCCTGTTCCCTAAACCCCTAGAGCCCTGATGCCATCCTCGTCGATGAAAATTCGGAGCCCTTCAGCCACGACTCGCAGCACCAGCTCGAATGTGAACAAAGCTGTGTACATATACCTGGGCCACTTAGGGTTTGGGCTTTAAGGGGGGTTTAGGGTTCAGGCCTGCAGATTCTGATTCTTGTTCTTTCAACTGCCTTCTAATTGCACCTTGCAGTTTCCGGCTTTGGGGGGGCTCTTGAGATTCAGGGCTTAGGGCATGGGCTTCCGGGTGTTCCTCAGCCGCAAGCCCTAAACCCTAAAACCCCGAACCCGAAATCCTAAACCCTAAACCCCCGAACCCGAAATCCTAAACCCTAAAACCCCGAAATCCTAAACCCTAAACCCTAAACCCCCGAACCCGAAATCCTAAACCCTAAAACACCGAAATCCTAAACCCAAAACCCTAAACCCCCGAACCCGAAATCCTAAAATGCAAGGTGCTGCACCACAAAGAAGATCGTAGGTCGGACCCCAGGGTTCGCGATCGTCTCCTGGACCTTCCAGTGCCGGGGTCTTTTTTGGGCTTCTTTGGGGCTTTGGGGTGGGGGGTTTAGGGTTTAGGGGTTTAGGGGTTTAGGGGTTTGGGGTTTAGGGTTTGGGGTTTAGGGTTGAGGCTGGAAAGTTGAGGGGTTTGAGGGGTCTAGGGTTGAATTATAGGGGTTCAGGGGCTTTTGGCCCAGGGTTTAAGGTGAGGAGGTCCGTGAGGTTTAGGCGTTGAGCAATGGAAGCATTGGGCTGAGGGCTTGAGGGTTTAAGTTTAACGCTTTCGGGTTTGTGGGCTTGGAGTTTAGGGTTTTAGGTTTTAGGTTTAAGGGTTTAGGGTCTTGGAGCCCTAAACTGACAGGGTTCCCTGCCTACAGTAAATCGGGAGGTCGGGAGCGCTGCGGGTGATTGAGGAGTTACCTCCTATACTTGATTCTCGAAGCCCTCTAGCCCAATGCTTCTGCGGATCTTTGAGTTGAACCGGGGTGGGCTCTTTGTGTTAGTTCTAGCAAGAAGACCAGGTATTGAGGGTATGATATACTGTAGTTGTTTTAGCTGGCAAGACAGTACTACTAATTTTTCCGACACCTACATCAGGCCCACTTTTCCAACACCTGGGACAAGATGCGGTAATACCATCGACAGAGAAAGCGAAGGCCGTCTACTATAAAGATGTAAGCACCATCTCGAAATCTGCAACCTCGGACAGGTTCATTTTGGGTGCAATTTGGGGTTGGGTAGGACAGTGGCCTCGACAGTACTACAGGAAGAAAACCAGCTACACAAAAGTCGCACAGAGTCCTGGCACATTACCATCGACTAGACGTTGCACAATCCGAAACGGACGTCTGCCTCAATGCCAATGAAGATCGTGTTCGTCACCACAAGAAGCGCGAAGAACGAATCGAATGCCTAAGAGGAAAGGCACGCATGCAAGTTTCAGTAGTGTTTAGGGATTTAGGGTCAAGGGCCACGACAGTTTGCTTCGCTGATGGGTGGTAGACTCCGGCGACACTGTGCTCCTAACCCCAGCCATCGTCTTGCCGCCAAGCCCAAAACCCTAAAATCCAGAACCCTACAGCAACGTCTGCCAGGCCCCAGGCCTTCCTCACGTTTCGACTAATTTAGGGGCCTGAATAATCGCGAATCTTAGTCCCTTGTGCTCCGATCTTTATACGATCAGAGAGCCCCCAAAACCAAACTATGAAGGCCCCCTATAACTATACTAGCTCTTCCTCCGCCTAAGGCTTGCGCCACCCGCAGGAGTGCGCTTCCAAGGCCCTAAGCCAAGCACCTCAACCTTGTAAATACGTTCCGAAAAGCACGTGATGCTCTTCGATGATTTCATGATTGTTGACATGAAGCTACATCGTATAACCGTTTTGTATGCCACAGTCTAAAGGCTATTTAGATCAGGGCGGTGGGGTCGATTACGGTACAATCGCATTAGGATAGTACTACTACCCTCCTCAGGCCACTTGCATTAAAGCCTAAGAGAGTCGAACCCAGGACCGAGACTCATGCTTTGTGGCCTAGGGGTTGTGAGGCTCTAAGTCTAGGCTCTTGTGACCGATGCATGGATTGAGACGTTTCGGATGGAAGGCCTTAAGTCGAGTTCGGGAATTGAGAGTTCCGGGTTTGGGTTCAGGATTGAAAAAATCGAAACATTGAGACTTGACCCTAAGCCCTTGGATGATGTTGAGATCCTTTCGTCCAGGTGCCGGGTGGTCAATCATTCGTTGAAGACGGCTGCGCCTGGCCGCGGAACAACGTGGCTCTTTCTTTTATCCGTTGGGCCTTTGCGTAGTCGACAGGTTCAGGGACCAGAAAATTCCAAAACTGCTGTTGACTTCTATGACGCTCATGCGGCAGTCTCAACATGCAAAAAAAGGTATCTCAAATAGTGCAAAACCACTACAAAGCCCTTGAAAGCAAAAGTACCCGCTAAACCCTTATAACACCCTGCCTGTAGAACCCTGTGCCGCTTGTCCATGAGATTCGACCGATTGCTCTTAGCCCTACCGGCACTTAAACGCAAATACGAACCCCGCAACAATCGGAATGGTGTTTTGGGGTATACGTTTCCTACAATTTCAACCTTGAGCCCTCAGGAATAATCTTGGCAACTACTCAGGCTTCTATGTCTTCGAGCTCCAGGGCGTCGGGATTTTATTTATGCATATTATTTTTGTTTGAGATTGAACTTGTTTAGGGAAGTTGCGGTGGTTGACAGCACCTAGGCTACTGGAGTTTGGCAGCTGATACTTGGAGGTTCGCAGTCCATATGCCAGGACCTGCCAGGACTTCCTAAATCCGATCTCTAAATCCGGAAATCCCAAATCGAACACCTAACCCTAAAGCCTAAAGCCTAAACCCTTCAGCAAAGAACAGTTCAGCAACTAACAGTAAGCCCAAATAGGAAACCCTCCTCTCACCGAAGAAGGTACCCCCAGGCTTTGCTGCGCTCTTGTCAGGGAGTCTAAGGGAAGTTGCCATAGTAAGGAAACCACATTACTTACAATAAACTGCCACTATGGCAGCTTAAATTTAACTTCCTAAACCCTAAAACCCTAACAAGAACCCAGTTTAGGGGTTTGGGGATCAAAGCCTCTCTTCCTCGTGCTCGATACCTTCGAGCGAGCTCTTGGCCTGCCACCGAGCACTGGATGCCGTATGCTTGCATCGTTTGGGGTTTAGGGTTTAGGGTTGAGAAGTTCAGGGTCTAGGGTTTAGGGTTTTGGGCTTTAGGGTTCAGAGTTCAGGGTTTAGGGCTGAGGATGCTCAGGTTGCCTCTGCCTTGCTGTCGCGGCTAGTTACAGTACCATATCCATGAACAAAATGTGCTTGTGCCACTGCCACGGCCACCCCAACCTCCAAAACCACCATCATCACCAATGAAAGAAACACAAGACTCGTCGCGATCATCATGGTCACCAATATTTCAGCAAAGTGCAGGCGAATTGCGCCATCCATTGACTCCTATTCCGATTGGGAAGTTGCAATTCCCCCACCTAGGAAACATGCCGTCACACCCAGAAGACAAACAGATTCTTTTGAACCCGCGCCTTAAGCTCTAAACCTCTACAGCCCTAAACCCTAAACCCTACACCTCTACAGCCCTCAACGCTAAACCCTACACCCGCCTTTACGAGGGCAAAGGCGCCGGAGACCATCGGACCCAGAGTTTCGGGGCTTGGGTTCGGTTTCAGGGCTTCGGGGCTTAGGGTGTAGGGCTTATAGGATTTCGGGTTTAGGGCTTAGGGTTTAGGATTTTAGGGCTTCGGGTTTAGGGTGTAGGCGACCAGTCGACCGAAACCCGAACGCCCGAATGCCAGGGAACCCCTAAACCTCAGAGCCCAACACCCTACACACCGTAAATCCTGAAGCCCGAAGCCTGTTTTTTCTTACGATAACATACACAGTATCCAGCAGAAGCGGTTAGGGAGGAAGTTATGGGGGAAGTCGTTTTGCAAGAAGCCGGCTGGCCCCCCCAAAACATCACTTTTTTGGTTGCCCCAAGGGTTTGAATTTATGGAGCCATTTTATACCAGCACATACCAGTGCTATCGCAAAAACAAAAGAGACTTCCTACGAACAACTGCTATAGAACCTCTACATAAATCCCCCGCCCGCGCCCGCCAGAAAAAAGCCTAAACCCCAAACCCGAAACCCCGAAGCCCCTAAACCCTAAACCCCTACACGCCTAAACCTGTAAGAGCCCCTAAGAGCCCCAAAAAGCCCCCAAGCCCCCAGAAGGAAGGCCTGAAAAAGGCGCCGCGTTCGCTTGCTCTCCACATCAGCAGCCCGCTGCTTCAAAGCCAAATCCGCCTCCAGGCAAAAGGAAACTACCGGTGGGGAGTTTAGGGGTTTAGGGGTTTAGGGTTTAGGGGTTTAGGGGTTTAGGGTTTAGGGTTTTTCTGGCTTCTACAAGGCTTCTATAAGGTATGTAGACCTTCTATAAGGCTCCTACAACGGTAACTACCCACCTGAAGATGTCCTAGATCCAGCTATAATCGGAAGAGTATGAACGAAGACACACATAATAAGAGCAGTAACAAGAATCATTCAATAATGACATGGTAATAACAATAGCCACAACAACACATAATAGTGATAATAATAATGATGATAGGAGTCACAATAATGATCACAAACAATAATTAAAATCAATAATGACCAAAAAATAGCAATAGTAATACGTAGTAATAATAAGAGTAGTTGTTATAAGAATAATGGGGATCCTGATAGCACCTGGAACAATAACAGTACTGACCGCCGCAAATATAGTAGCCAAAGCAACTTAAAAGCGGCTTTTCCTTGCTGCAGTTGCGTCTGAGGCCCGCAGATGGGAGGCCAACTGGTCACCGTGTACCCGTGCAACACTACTACACAATGGCACTCATGGTATAATGTACATGCACATAAACCTTCAGTGCGAAAAAACACTGCTATACTGTTCTCTTACACTTAGACCCCGTAGGTGAGGTGGCCGGCTATTGAGGCTTTGGGGATCCGAGGGTTCAATACGGGTTTAGGGGTCAAGGGTTTAAGGTTGTCCTTTTTGGGGCCTCGGGTTTTGGGGTCTATTTCGGGTTTAGGGTTTTGTTTGTTTGGATAGAGTTGGATTTAAGGGCTTCTTGCTTCAAGCTGCCCTTGTTATTTTGTTGGGTCACAGAATGGGGAGTTGGAGCTTAGGAACTTGGAGCTTGTTGAGATTGAGTATCCAGGAGGCCTTATAGAGCTCAAGAGTCAGGTCGTGGGGTTCATGGTCCTGCAAATCGCCTTTTCGCTGGAGTCGATGTGGATTCCGCAGCATCGAAACAAAATGCTTCTCGGACAGCCTCCAAAGTGACTCAACTTTGCACGAAACCCACATCAACCTTGAACCCCCCGTGGCACCCTTCTCGGCCTGCGTAAAAGTGTGGAACAGGGGCCGATAGGAAGGCCGCTGCGGCTGCGAGGGCTAGGATTAAGTTTTAGGGTTTGCTTAAACCCCCAAAAAGGAAATCATACCAGGGAACCCAAGGAGGGTTTCATAAGGTTCAATTGAGGGTCACGAGCTGGCCATGCCTCTGAAGTTGAGGTTCGCATTTACGCTCAAGGTCTGGGGTTTAGGGACTTCGTGCTTTTCCTCTGGAGGTTGGTCCGTGCAATCGCTCTGAACACTAGCTTCATTCAAACCCCAAACGTTCTCAGGCTTTTCGTTTCTCCCGGGAGTATTGAGTATTGGCGCAAGGACTTTCTGAGGACAGCACCGTCTCATTCTGAAGGTTTCATCGTTTCAACCCCAAATTCCCCCAAACTCTCAAACCCCTCATTCTAAACACCAGCCCGTTCTACCCCAACAGAACCCCGATACCCTAAACTAAGGCCCAGCACAGCAGAGTTGCAAGTTTGGGCTTGGGTCTGAGGTTTCGAGCGTTTCAGCTGCCACTCAGAAGCCCTGACCCTCGTCCAACCCACCCCTACACCTTAAACTTAAACCCTTATCTCCTTCGCCCCAAAACCCGTACACCCGAACCTCAAACCCCGAGACGAGCCGGCTCCCTCAAGAGCCTAAGGTCTTCAGGGAGGTGTTTAGGGTTTAGGGTCTACGGGTTTGGGGTTTAGGGGTTTTGGGCTTACGGTGTATATTGCCTTCGAAAGGTCCAATCGTCGCAAGAGCAACACGCACCCAGTATTACACACGCGTTTTCGAAAACCCCCTGAACTCATCCCTGCCCTTTAAACCCTAACTTGCCATTGCATTAGGGGGGCTCATGAGCAAGAGCTGGAGCAAGACCAAGAGCAGGAAGAGCTGCCACAACGGCAAAACCAGGAGCAAGAGCGAGAGACGCAGCAGGAGCACGAGCAGGAGCCAGCGCAGTATCAAGAGCTTCCGAAAGTGACAATGCAGATACAACCCCACCTCAAACAACAACACCACCTCTCGGGTTTCTATTCGGGGCACCTCGTTTAATCTTAGGGGTTTAGGGGGTTCAGACATGGAGGTCTAAGGCACTACTAACCGTATGGCCTTGAAGCCCCAATTGAACGCATGCCATCATCCACCCTAAAACCCTGTTCTCTTAGCAAGGCTGTATGAAGTACGGACGAAAAGACACAACATCGTCTCAACGCCCTAGCCTTCTATTTTCAAGGCCCTAGAGCTTCCAAGCTCTGAAACTTAGGTTCGCCTTGAGGGCTGTGTTGGTCTCTGTGCTCTGTGACATCTTGGACTTTCGAGGCTTTGTCCTCGAATCCTCGGATGCTTCCTCCTTCCGGGTGGCTGCAGGGCGTCGGTATCTTTGGGGCTTTGGCTTTTCGGGTCTGGGGTTTACTGGAGCGACAAAGCCTGTGGGATTCAGCACTCGTGGTTTAGGGAAGTATTTGGGCCTTAACACGTAGAATAGGGCTTGGGCTTCTTTGTAGTACAGTTTTCACAAGGTGCCGTAAGGAATGGAATCATGCTAGTAATGATTCAGGCTGCTATATTAGATCTCAGGCCCTAAACCCCAGGCAGCCATGAAGCCCTGGACCGCCGGTGACTCAAGGTTTGTGTTCGTGATCTCACATCCGGGGCGAGGAAAGCTTGAAGAAGTTGGAGTTCATGGCTTAAATAAGGGCTTCGGGGCTTCAGCTCCGAAGTTTAGGGTTGTTTATAGGGCTTGGGCGGAAACGCTGTTGAGGCGTTTGGGTTGAAAGATTCAGGGGTTGCGGCTTCGCGGCTTTCGGGGTGGAAAGCGGATGCTTCGGGATTGAGCTTGGGGTGTAGGTTTAGGGTTCAGCGTTAAGGGGGTTTGAGGTTAATGAAAGCAAGAGGCCAGATCGATGAGGGTTGAGGGTTGGAAATCCGCAAGCTCGCTCCGAACTGTTACCCATATCAGTCAGTTTATGTTCTGAGTCACCTGTCTGCATACCTCTGCCTATCTACTATCTACCCATCAACCTCTCTGCCGATCAAGATAGCCATCTATCCATCCATGCATCATCCATCCTTCCATCCAGCTATGTTTAATCAGGCTTCCGTCCACGACGTGAAGCAAGGAGGCCCTCGAACCCTCCCGGCCAAAAAAATGCTCAACAGCTACCAGGAAAGCAGCGCCTCTCCTGCATTTCCCGGAGTGGAGCGAGCCGAGGAGACTGAGGCGCTGAAGTAGGTGTTTGGGGCCCCGAAGTGGGCGAGTGGGATCTCGCGAAGGAGAGCCCCCCGGGTCGACGGCGATGCTCTCGGCGGATCAAATCTTCCTGGTTTCAGGGGTCGGGCTTTGTCCGGGGTTCTAGGATCTGGGTCGCATGATGGCAGTGCGCATAGATCAAACGATAGATAGATAGACAGATAGCTAGCTAGACAGATAGATAGACAGACAGACAAATCGATAGGTCCATGGCAAGATAGATAGATGTATAAACATATATATTCCATACAACCAGCCAACCCACCCACCCACCAACCAACCCACCGACCAACCAACCAACCAACCAAGCAGCCAGCTAGCCAGCCAGCCAGCCGACCACCACACATACACAATTAACAATATGTACCTGCATGCTGCATGTATACATCTACATCTACATACATATATGTGTATATATGTATATATGTATGTATGTATGTATGTATGCATGTAGGCATGTATGCATGTATGCATGTATGTATGTTTATGTATATGTATATGTACATATATATATATGCCTGTGCGCACACACACACA